GAAATGAAGTTCCCCCTAACAATGTTATCTCAGGAGATTCATCGAAACCAAGTTTCTCTTCGTATCTATTGTAATTTAGTTGGTGTTATATTACTTCTTGTTTGTTGTCTTTGATAAAAAATTTTGTAATTTTTGGCTCTTGTATCTTTGCTAATGGACCGAATTTTGAACAGTTATAAATGTAATAGTGCAGATAAAGAAAGTATATCCTTAACCAGTTATCTTGCGATAACAGTTTGAAATCAGAATTTGGCAGCATGGAATTGACAGAATTTGGGATTTCAATAAAAAATGAATATCTCCTTCTAAGTGTTAAGGTTCAGCGGATTTTAATTCCATTTTCGACGTCGTATTCGTGCGAAGCTGAATTTTCGACGGTCGCTGTAATAAAAAGCAAGTATAGAGCATAAATCAACTTGGGAAAGGAAATGAGGGTGGTTGTGTCCAGTTTGATTCCACAATTTCAGAAAATGTGCAGTGATTTGCAGGCTATCTCATCACATAATTATTAAATATTAATTTAATGTTAATAAAGTAAAAAAAAATAATGAAGATACACGAGTTTTGGCTCATCCATCACATTAATTATTAAATATTAATTTAATGTTAATAAAGTAAAAAAATAATGAAGATACAAGATTTTTATTTATTTTTATCTCTTACTTACGAATAGTCACACTTTGGGTAGGGCATCATGAAAAACCTTTAATTGTAAAGGGCGCCGCGACTAGGAAAGTTTTGGAACCACTGGTTTAAGGAGATTAAGGACTGGCAACCTTTAAACCCCATTTATAAACGAAAAAAGCCCAGCCTGCTTGCGTCCGAAACAAAAAAATATTTCTCGCGAACTATGTCAACCTGAATGTCGTATTAGAGCCAAACGGTTGCAGTGCAAGGGGGATCAGCCATCGTCTTATGGGGAGATCGATCCTCGAATCTCATCTTCATAAACTTTGATACTAAATGGAAGTCTGCCCAACCTTAGTGGTGATAAAAGTGGTGATGCTTACGAATATGATTAACTGTGAGGCAAGATTGGCTAGAATTCAGAGGCATCTTGTTGTCTGCTCATGTGATCAAGGAATATCCAACCATCAGTCCATACATAATCGTAGAAAAAAACGCATTTTCACTATGCTACTCAAATGCCCTCTAGAAATGCTTTTCATTAACAAAAAACCAATAACAGCTGAATGTTGTCTTAGATATAAAACTGTGAATTCCACTGATAAGTTAACTAGATGATAAATCTTTTAATCAACATTCATGTTCAGCATACATTAATTTACCTTCTCTACCGAATTATCTACATTCGAACATCTGATATTCATCTAAACGATAAGCCAATGACGATGAAATTCATGGGTGAATCTACGTAGTGTAAAGCTTATTTGATGTCTCAGATTTGGCATACTGACTGTTTGTGTTTCATAAGAGCTGATAGTATAGTAACGCCTTAGTAACTGGCGTAGCGGTAGGATGTCGAAAGTATACCTTTTGAGAAGCAAGGCTAAGTAAAATTCAATGGAAACCTGAGGCCTACTCATGCCATTGTGAGAAATTTCCCTATAACTCCTTTATCACCTTAATTGGCCAAGTTCAACTAAAAACAAAACTCCATGGATATCATTTAGCTGAGTAGCCTAAGATTTGGGCTATTATGGTTATTCATTAAAGCCAGTTATAGTATTGTATTAAAGCGAACTTAGTTCCTATTCTGCAACGCAGACCTATATTCAATCCAATAAGTTGTGGGAGGAAAGCCTGAGCAGGATTAAAATAAATATCGGAAAGTATGTACATCCTTGGACATGCTTAATTAATTTTTGTAGTATTCAGGTTCGTCGATGCCCGCAAAAACAAATATGGTGATCTGAACTGCTCATAATCAATCATCCTTCGACAAGGTAAGGTACAAGTGGATTTATATCATCAACAAGCTCAACTTTTGTGATTAATGAACACTGAACCTTTACTTGTGGTTATTTCATTTAGCGTACACTATATGACTTTAGACTGCTGGTCTCCTTTCAGATTTCGTCTCCAGTACATGTGCTTACCTTGGCATTCAAGTAGCGGACAAGATCTGCTCTGCTCCTGTACTTCTCGATCCAATTCCTGCCAAATACCAGCTCTGACTGAAATTTCCCTTACGCCCCTCTGGTCGATAAGTGAGGCCATTATCTCTGCCTCCTGTACTTCATCCTCCATTTCACTCTCTTCTTCTACAGAATACTGCATCGATAAAAGAGGCTCGCTCTGTTTTGCTTGCATTAAATTTGTCGCCGTCTCCCATTCTTCGGGAAGAGGTTGGCTTGCCGAAGGATAAAGGTCCAGTGACCCTGAAAGTTTTACTGACCGACATTGATCTAGCCCGGGCAACAGACAAAGACGCCTGCGGGTTTGTATTCCTGACGGGTGCAGAAGTTCGTCAGGGCCAGGCCTGGCACATTCGGGCTGACAAGATGACCAAGAAGTCCAGGACGACCAGTAGGTTGGCGGAGAGTCGACGAAGCTGGCTTGATGGTTGCTGGGCTCTGGTATAAAAGGCGAAAGTACAATAAAAACGAAGTACTTCATGGGTTAAATCTGCTACCCAACCGAATCTTCGAAGGCAGAACGAAATTGAAACCAACAGATAGGCACTGATAAATGGTTTTATGGAAAAAAACTGGGCTTTGAGGATCCTTTTGTGATGAATTGGGACATGAGCTTTCATTTCGATGCAAAAATTGGTTAAGGGCAATTCGTAAACTAGTCTCACAGGAAATCTTTTCCCTCAAAAGGAAAATTCATTTAAACCACTAACATAATTCCTTCGAAGCTAATACTCCACTGAGACCAATTTACGAATTCTTTTCAACCAACTTGAATGTCAAAACTGAGTAATGATTCTCTAGACGAACTTCGAGTATCATATTCGAGGCATATCCAAATAAACTGCGGGTTTCGAAGAATCTCCTGAGATAAGGATTTTGTGAAAGGTTTTCATTTCGTATATAAGTATATGGTGAAGAGATTCTTGGGTCAATCTCACCAGAAGGCCCCGGATGGTTCGCGTTGTACTGCAGCCATCTGGCTTTAATACCACTTTCAGGTTGCTGCAGTATACAAGACATCCTCCAAAGTTTCGGAAGAAGACCGTCTGAGCTTTAGTTCGTCATATGATGAATATTACAGAGCTGGAACTGATTCTTGCAAAAGCCTCAAGTTAACACTAACCCAAGAAGACTGACTAACCTTTTTCCATGCATGTATCCATGTTATTGTATTTTCACAAAACTGGTGATAACTAGGAGTAATTAGAAAAAAGCCTAATGTCAGCCCGCGTCATCAAAGTCTAATAACTCAAGGAAGAAAGTAAAAGAGGATGACCGAGATTGCGTTAGTCTCTAAGTAATCCTGGTTGAATTGATGAGATGTAAGTATGTACGCGTGAAATTCAGGTTACTAAATCACCAGTCCGAACCCATAAGTCTGGGTTATTAAGGCTTAATGGCCCAACTATGTAGTTACTCGTCAAAATTAACTAAACCCTTCTATTACCATCTATTTCTCACATTTTTGTCGCAATAAGAATATACATCATATAAAAAAAGCAGACCAGTAATCATGACATAGTCTTGACTTGAGGTTTTTGCAATAGTCAGTCCCAGCTCTGACGATGTTCGTCATATAACAAACGGAAACTCAGCCAGTCTTCTGTCTAAATGTTGGAGGATGTCTCATGGACTGCATCAACCTGAACGTTGTATTAATAGCAAACGGATGCAGTATAATACGAATCAGCCTGCGCCTTCTGGTGAGATTGACCTATGAATCTCTTCACCGTGTACTTCCATACTAACTGAAAGTTTTCACAACAATCGGGCATATTCTCCAATTGTACCATAAAATTTGAAATAAGTATTCGTGTTTTTAGGGCATTATAGAAGTAGTATACTGTTGATTTGATATTTTACTCTTAACTTTGTCAGAACTACAGGAATAACCTGCGGAATTTAGTTAGCCCTGCCTCATTTGCCATAGCATTCATGCGAAATTCCAGAATCGGACTGTTGACTTGGTACATTCCCAGACGTTTCGCCGGTATCGTGGTCACTATCGTCAGTAAGAGACACCTTCCTTAGCACCGAGTTATAACTTATCAAAGTGACAATATGGAAGTGGTCTGTCGAGTGGAATGGCTAGTTCGAAGCCCGGGTATGACTATGTCTCGATGCTCACACTCAAAGGAATACACAGATTGAGCAGGTACGAACAGACAAGGGCACAGAGTAGCAAAGAGAGAAACTTTGGCCAATTGCAGTGAAAGTGAGGGATGAAGATGCACTAATATGAGATATGAAAAATGATGAACCAGTATACAATGAAGGAGAGGTCACACAGCCTCACTACAGAAGCGAGTAAATGGGTTGAACCTTATCAATCATTCCAATGAATTGTTGTGTAGCTTGGCGCTATTCATTAACGAGACCGACCTCGGTGTGGCAAATAGTTCTGAAAGTATCCAATCAACTGTCGAATGCAGAAAGGATACAGGGGATGAACAGAAAATCAACTTGTCACTTTGATAAAATGTATCTCTGTGATAACGATAGCGCCTCTCACTGATGATGCCGACTACGAATCCCACGAGAAGTCTAGAAGTGTACAAAGTTAATAGTCAGAAGCTGGAAATCATCATGAAGGCTATCGCATAAGACGCAGGACAAGGTACGTTTCACAAGATACTTCATGTTGCTCCTGCCAAGTTACGATACCAGTTCAAACCAACAATATAGAGCTAAGGGAATATATGAACAAACGTAAGACCGCAAGGTCTTGGTCTTCAAATATATAAATAGGATAGAAGTGGGCTGATATCGTTGACGCAACTTGGTCTTGTTGTCAGGACGACTTAATAGAACGCACCTAGTCCGAAGTCTTCTGCAATAGTAGTTGTCATGATTCCCAGCATCAGACAGTGGACTTGAAACATTCTCAAATATTTCGCCGACATCGTAATCAGCATCATTAGTGAGTGCTGCCATTCTTCGCAACAAGGTATGAACTCGACAAAGAGACAAGTGAAGTCTGTCCTTCCTCCAACGTTCTGACGAAAACGTATACAATATTAGTCCTCTTTCTCTCCTGGCCTATCTATCTACTCCTTACCCTCTTATCAAACTCCCGCTCTACCACAACTTCTCACTTGTTTACCTTCCACTCGTCAAAATGTATGCCTTTTTGTGGCAAATTTGATGTGGCCTTATCACAACGGCTATTCACCACGATCCCCTCTCTTTCGATTGAGTGATCCGACTCGGACATCCATTCCGAATCCGCTCATGATCCCGTAGATCCGTTCATTATCTTTCTAGTTATTCGAATTCACTCGGTACCAGTCCCAATGTGCGTTTCACTCCTGGCGCTATTGCTCAAGGTCCTAGAAGGAGGTACAGAGCGCCTAGGCTCTGATTCCCATGCTTACAGATATCAGGCATTGCAATCCCGGGTCGTATCCTTGATTAAGCCTGTGTAACCTGAACGAAATGTGGATGCCTATCTCTGGTCGCATGCTGCATCTTAAGAGGATTTCTAGCAAATTATGGTCATAACGTCGAATTTCTGTGACGGTTTGCTTATCCGGCTGCCTAGCTCCCTCACTGCCAGATCCATAAAGTTGTACTGCTCTATTCGAAACGGACATTACTCACTGACAAATTCTTCGCTTGATTGTCGAAACTACCCGCTCACCACTTTCCTCATTGCGATCCCTTTTTCTCTGGATTGCTCTATTCTTGTTTTCCCCGAGTTTTCTTAAGCGGTAGGCAAAGTTATCGCTAACTCTAGGTTCCTCCAATTAGATTTTTATCTCCAAGAATGTCAGTAGCCTCCCTAATCTTCCGCTTCCTTGGGTTTTCACCGTATGAGTCCCTTCTTTCTGTTGTCTCCCAATTGATCTCGTGTCCAGTCTGTGCGATGTGTTCCGCTAATTCTGATCTTTCGGTATCCATTTTTCTGGAGAGCCTTTGATGTTCCTTGATTCATGTGCTAATTTTTATCCCTGTTTTGCCAATATATTTCTGTTTGCACGTACATTATTTCAATCTTTAGCCTGTAATTATGATGAGATCAGAAATTGAGTTTTACCACAGCATAAGACTTCTTTCTGAACAATTTCTTTTTGAGCGTCATATTAGAGCGAATCACTTCAACGTCCAGGAACGGTAACCGCTCACCTTCCTCTACTTCCATCGTGAATTGAATTTTTCCATCAATCTGGTTTACAAACTTAAGAAACTCTTCCAGTTTTTCTCTTCCATTTGATCACAGTGCAAAATAATCAACCAGGTACCCCGTGAACACTGCCGGTTATAGCGGTACCATCTTGCACTTCTCTTC